CTGTTGGCTTTATATATACATACCTGCTTAACTTCTTTCCTGCTCGAATCATTAAACCATCTAAAAATAGCAAAAAGCTATCCTTCTCTTTCTTCATAGTGAACTGAACGTTACAATCAATCAAGTTAATTGAGGATAATAAATTGTAGAAATTATCCTTACCATGTTGCCATATGGCAAAGTAGACATCAATCGGACATCCCTCCATCCTTGACATGTAATTGTTCGCCGAAATGGGAGCCAAACAAGGTCCCATTGCCTGGCATCGCACAGGCACCTATTGTTGAAGGTGAATTATGTCCTACTGATTAAGTAGTATTAAGATTGAGCCTTTGCTTAGATTGGCTCGCTCAGTAATAGCTGGGTGTTTATCCAGGCCGATTGCTATTACTTTGAAACCTTCTAGACAAATTCATATGAATTCACCAATCTATATTTTCAATACTCAGTCACTTTCCCTAATTGTCTTCATAAGAATCGTGAAATCCTATTGCTCACGCCTCCTTTATTATTAACAATACATCTTAAATGCACTTCCTTCTTGTGTACCTTTATAAGATCGTAAGCTGAGGGTACTCTAGCGTCCCCTTAAATTTCTTTCCCCTTGTACATTTCTCCCTTGCTTACACAAGCTGTTGGCGATTCTCTAAGTCTAGCCTTAAGACCCTTAAGGGATCTGTCATTAAAAGTTTGCATATTTCTGAGTGATTTAAATGAAACATCATTTCTTCTAAATACCTTTACCTATCCATGCTGACTACCTCACAATTTGTGTCTGCCTTCAAAACAAACAGATCATTTTAGTGCACATTTATCAAAATCTTATTCAGGTCATAAGATTTCGTTTGAATAATTACTTGGTCAATTCTTTTTCCATATAAGTTGTGTTCACCATATTTCGTTTAAAGTGATGAACGACTGGTAGTTGAATTTTCTAACAATTATATGAGTAGAGCTGATCTTTTCCACTAAATTTTACGTAGCTCTGCTTTCCCAAAAAGATGTTCTCATCTCGGCTGTAGTGCAGGTCTTAACAACACCCCCAAGTGGGAGCGAAACCATGACAATGTAGCGTGTAAACTCGACACACTAACCACCTTAACCTAAATATGGTGAACACAACTCATATGTCTTGTTTGCTAGTGGTCTCGAAAGCCTTGTGATCTACGAAGACAATTCTTTTTTCCCCCTCAAATCAAAAGAACATCAAACGGTGGTCAGGTCAACTGGGAAATTCCACTTAAGTTGATTATGTCCCTAACATTGTTGGACAAGCATTTTTAACCTCTACCCTGGACTATTTTCGGCAAGAAAAGCCGGGAATAACTGGAGATTTGCAACATATAAAAATTACTCAGTGAATGAGATTAAATGAAATAAACTGAGTGGTGCTACGGAAAAAAGCGGCTACGTGCCGGTTGAGTTCAGACAACTTTTAAGGCAACAAAGCATAAATGATGCTGAAAGT